GGTGTTGCTGGACGTAGAAAGTTGACTGACCAAGAACAGATGGCCACTGAACAGCGACGTAAAGAACTAAAACATCAGAACTATTCAACAAAAAACAGAATAGAAAAAAAGAAGACTTGCAAGGGTGGGTTTGGACGTAGAAAGTTGACTAACCAAGAACTGTTGACCTCTGATCAGCGACGTAAAGAAGTAAAATATCAGATTACAAGAAGCGCTCCGAAAGGATTAGCCATCGTTGTCAAAAAATGACGTCATCAACAATATCACCTTATATTTGTTTATACACGGGGGTTAGTTTAGTGTCTTACTCAAGATTTTAAAACGCAACCAACCCCCTTCGGTGTTTTGGTCAAGTGTTTAAACCCCCCATTCAGGGGGGTTAGTTTAGTTTCTTACTCAAGGGTAAAAACACTTGAATGAGACACTAAACTAACTCCCCTTCGGGACTAACCAAGGTTGGTTGCGTTTTACAAACTTGACCAAAAGGAGCGCCCTGCTCTAGTCAACAAAAATTCTGTGAGCATTTTAATCCCTCACATTCATGCTGCATGTTTTGGCCAACATAACCTCAATTACTTGATTTCATTAATGTCTTGTGAAAAGTATATGATGTAACCTTCCTCTGCTTCGATAATTCCCCTCTTTTTACATTCAAATATTTCCCATAGCACTTTGGTCTCAAATAATCTCAATCCTAAGATAAGAAAGTGTTAGATCTCATTTGAGTTCATGGTAGTTCCTTTGTCTATTGTTTCTTGCATTGTATAAACACACTGTCCTCTCACTTCTATTATTCCTCTTTCTTTCCAGCAACCTATGCTCTTGTATTCAGGCGTTCCTATTAATTAAAGCCTGTTCTTTGATCCTACATTTCAACATTTCTCATGTTCACTGACTGTGTAACTAGTGTGTCAGCTATTTGAAAAGACTCACTGTTTAATTCATAGATGAGCATACACACACATTAAGTAAATAAATGTTGACTAAAGAGAATACATGAATATTCTCTGACTCAGATCAGCTAGTAGTCACATACATGTATATTTGTTTGGTTTCAGTACATTTGTCATATCCTGTCTTATGTTATTTGAAAACAATTAATTTCATGCTTTTGATAAAAAATAAATGTATTAACTTTATTGGAGGAAAATAAATGAATCAAAGGTTAAGTGAAGAATAAACTGTACCTGTTTTAGAGATGCAGCATCTACAATTTCTTGGACAGCAATGACAGAAAAGCTGCAAATAAACAACACAACTGAAACAAATTTTAAAACAGTATCCAATATTTCATTTTGTTTGTTTTAATCAACAGACTGCTGAGCAGGAAACAAGAAAAAATAGATGAACATGGCAAACAGCACAGATGAGAAAGATGAGTAACGCATACAATATTTAGTCAGGAAATGTGAAAAAAAAAGACCCTTTTGGAGACCTAGGCATGAATGGGGGGATAGTATTAAATCACCTTATAAAGGATATAGCGTAAAGTGAATTGATTGGTTTGGGGTACATCCAAGTTAGGAGACATGACACTGAAAAATGCAACTCACCTGTTTTCAAGAATTGTTCGACATACAATTTCCTTAACTCCCGGATTTTCTACTTTCTCTAATGTGAAGTCATGTAGATTCCATGTTGCAATACGTAAAGCTGCTTTTCCATTACGTTCTCCAAGAAAATCGTCCTCTAAAATAGGACGCTGAGAGTATGCTGACAAGAGCTCAAAAATGTCTTTTCCTGGTAAGAAACCATTAGCTGACATGCTTTTCAGTGGGAATGAAGGTGTTTTCCTGGCACCTGGACATGTAACAGAATTTATTTATCAAAATAAATATGTTAACTTACGTACACTCTTATCATTTACTTAAGTTAATTATACTAAACTCTTATATGGTAGGGCAAATGAAATGTAAAAACTAACAAAATGCAGTGTCCATGTGATAAGACTCTCCATATGCAGTACACTTTCAGTAATACACATAAGTAACCAGAAAATAATTAGACAAAGGTAATACAAAATATATTTATTCTAACAATTACTTTTTTAATGTATTCATTCACACATCATATGCAATGTAACCAACAATGCAAGTAATGACACCATTCATATTATGGTCCTGCTACAAGCTACCATTTGTAAGAACCTGGGACAATTGTAGGACTTAAACCCAATGATACTGAAGGCAAATCTTTATTTTTATAAACCAGAAAGAATTGCAAAGCATTAAAAAAAGCCAGTCTCGAAAGTCTGAGACACAGGCTATCATTTCAACCAATTCTGAATCGAAACAGAATTACTGCATGAAAAATTACCATAATATATTATGAGAGTTAAAAGAAACTGTTTTGGGGATCATATAGCATTTTAAAATTAAATACTCACCAGATAATTTTCCATTCATAACAGATTGAGCTAAATTTTGGGATGCTGTAGATATCACAGTACCATTACTGAGGCTACCAGTTGGAGCACCATCAGGAGGAAAATCTACCATTAAATAAGGACGCAAAGTTCCCAGACGCCACTGGTTCATCCCTTTCACCTGAATAACAACATAAAACTCAGCTGAAAATTCCATAAAAGCATTTTACACCCTAGAAAGTCATCAAAATGCTTAAATTTTGAGAATTACATGATTTAGTTAAAGTTTTCTGTGCATTTTGCTTAAACACTGACATGATTGGGATCTGATACATTGACTTTCAGCTTACAATGCAAACTCATCACCTACATTGTATTTTGTTTTTGGATAATAAAATTAAATTACGTAAATATAACTCAACAACATAAAATTTGCAGGAATGGAAATCTGCAAGATACAGTCAAGTCCCGCTTATCCACTTTACCCAATGTGCTGAAAGTCACAGTGAGGAATTAAATTCAATCAAGACTGTGCTTGCTTACATTAAACAACAATCGGAGAAGACCACTAGTGTGACCTTGCCATACAAAAGAGGCTCTAAAGAAAATACCCATTGCCAATCTCTTAAAAAAACTTTCATTCACACAATATAAAATAAACAATTTTTGTTTGTGAGATTTTTTCATATGATGTCACATATTTTCTTCACAATGCCACACATTTTCTTCACAATTTAATATCATAAATTGAGTTATAAACTTAGATGATATTTACCCTCACCTCTTTCTTTCATTTTCCATGAATTTATAATGAACGGCCCAAACTTCCCATAATTATCACAGTTTCATGTGAAGTACGCTAAATTAGATAACTCAAAATGTTATTTCACGAACCTTAATCAAGTCTTCTACCTTAAGAAATAGACCCTTTCTTTCACGGTAGTCGACCACATTTGCTGCCAACTCCTGATTAAATCCAGGCACTACCATCAATTCAAAGACATTTGCTGTATTTATATTTACTGTTCTACTCTGTGAATGTGGAGAGCCTTTAAGATAAATACGGCCATAGTTATTTGATTCTGTACTTGGTAAACTGTCTAATGACTGGGCTCTTGAAGAAGCACAGCTATAACAAAGAACAAAATACTATTAAAAGTCATTCTTCTATAGAAGCATTATACCATGATGGCACTGTAAGGGAACAAAGCCAAAACTATGCTAGGCAATAAGTGGACGTGAGTGATAAGTTTTATGCTGCAGCTTCTTTATTTCACTGGATAGGAGGCTACATGGGTCTCAGAAGTGGTGGCAATCAAACCCTCATCATACAACCTATAGTGAGTCAATACGAATCTTGACCTGTAAACTAGATAACTTGTTCCTTACCATTTTCCTCAGTCCCTCCAAATACTGAGATATTAGTTTAGAACAGCCAACAGCCACTTCTTTCCACATCCTTTTCAATTCACAATACATTACCATCCTTATAATACACTACATAACTTGTGAATTATAATGAAAATGGTAAAGTACTGTTAAACCAAGAGAAGTTACTTCAAGACTGAAAAATGCTTTCACAAAGTGGTAGCTAATGAGATAAGAGTGAGATAAATAATTATTTCTCAATAATATGTAGGTGAATTATTGGTTAATTCACATTCTCAGAAATGTAAAAAATACTCAATGTACCTGACATTTTTACGACGGCTGACACATATCTCTGGTCTAATAAGATCTAGTTTAACAGCACCAATGCCTGACACAAGCGCCAAATCCTCAACTTTCTTAAACCTTCCAATAGCTTGACGGTACTCAACAATATTCTGTGCAATGTTTCGGGTAATTCCTGGAAGTGTCATTAACTCTTCTTCACTGGCTGTGTTAACATTCAACTGATCCACCTGTAACAACACAAAGTGCAGATTATAAAATGAATATCAGTAAATACATTCTTTGCTATTTTAGATACCTAGTGAACCTTAATTACTGCACATGCAAATGTATGGCTGCAATGCTAACCACAAAGCACAGAAGTACGAAGTACAAATGACCAATTTGTAACTTATTTATTTATCTAACAATGTTTTTAGTGGCCCACACTACACAGTGTAAGATGAAACGATGGTAGTGAATAATGATATAAAAGGATGTGGAAGGAAGAAGTTATGGCCTAATTAAAGGTACTATCCTAGCATTTAACTGGGCCATCTGAAGAAAATCACAAAAAGGTTCAGTAAGGATAGCTTGTCTCCAGGCTGAGATTTGAACCCATAACCTCCTAAATGGCAAACAAAAGTGCTAACCACTCTATAACTTTACATTTGATTTATTCACATTGCATCATTCTGTTAGAACTGTGATATCAAGGAAGCTACAAAGGGCTTGGATCATGAATAGGATTGGGGAAAGAAAGAATCTACGAAGAATTTTAGTGCTCAAATCCCTGGAAAAATGACCACCTGAAACACTGAGAAGAAGGGAGGATCCCACAGATACAATCTGAGAAAATTATATATATTAAATTAAATAACCACAGAACAGAATAGCATGTAGTCATGTCAAAAAAGAACATTCAACAAATAAAACACCAACCAGTATTAACAAAACTGGTGTTTTACAACAAAAAGGAAACAAATAATGCAACATAGTAATAATAAGTATATACCAAACTGCAGATTTATGCACAAGATAGTTGTAGTGCATTTTAACTTTAATTTTAATATGCATATAACACCATATCCATATACCATCAGTTACCAGACAATTTAATGATTTTAACCAATTACAATACAATCTAAGTAGTTACATGTACTGTAATAACACTATACAACAACTGTGATGCATTCTGATTTATATAACACACGCTCAGAACTAGTGGAAGCCTATATCAGTTATGAACAATGACATAGCTAAGAAGAAGACATATTGTATTTTAATAGTTAGAATTTAGTTTTCATAATTAAAACAGCAGCACATAGTAATACTGTCCTTTTAGTGTCAAAATATATGCATACAAGTTACCATTTATTTATACTTCCCATTTCATGGGTAATTAGTCAATTTGCAATGCAACACATATTTACAAGACAAAGAAGCCAGGACCCTCAAATCACTGGAATGGAATTTTACCAATATAGCAACCAGTAAAATATAAATTTTATATTTGTATGGGCACCAAAACATTCCCAGGAATTATTGTACACTGTAACAATTATAAACTCAAAAACTGTGCATTGCATTTACAAACATTATCAGTGTTAAGTGACTAGTTATTGCATTTCTTCTGACGATTAAGTACAACACATTTAAAATCAGCTACTAATCTGATAATCACTGTAGATTTTTCGCCAATTTTATTACCTTTAAATCCACATCAATAAAATTGAAAGTAGCACTTAGAGAGCCTTGATGTGTTTGTGATCTTCGTGGAAACGGCGATCTCCATGACTCCCGAAATGATTTTCGTCTTCCCCTTCGGACACCAGTAGGAACACTAGAGTTCTGCCCCATTCTCATTCAAATACGTTCTTGATCGCAAGTGTCATTTCTGTCGATGTGAATAAGAAAAACTAATGTATCAATTACGAAACACAATGAGTACAAAACAATTTCAAGGCACAAAGCTGCATGTAAAACTCCACTATCTGTAACTGAATAACCTACATTGCTTCATCACTTATCCTGCCAAACAATAGTCCACAGATTACCCTTACCTACGTGACTTCATCGGCTGCTACAGAAGCACGGATTACCTATTAACCTGTAATCCGTCAAATCTGTGCTCTAGGCACAGTGGCCACCACAGTCAGACCAATGTCGGTAACTACATTCGTCATTGTACTGCCATCTACTAGCAGCCAGCAGCTATGGTGGAACTACGACCTGGCTATAAGTCATTGCGACGAACTCCCCTTCTCCATAAAAAATAATTAATTTTACACATCTGATCCCTGGAACTGCCGAGTAACTTACATATTAACTATTTTTATTACAATCTCTCAAATCATTTGTTTTGGTTAAAATTAGGTAAATAACACATCTTACTTTACATGAAGATAAACATGTATTTTTATATTCGTGTGTGGGTAGGAAATCCAGATCAGAGGAATCTTGAACCAACTGCACAACCATCGAGGAATCCCATGATATCACCCAGCTATACACCCTGCCCATGCATAAATCACTGGCCCCAGCCAAACTGGGCAGTGGCACCATGGTCAAATCTGACAATCATATCAGAATTATTATATTATGCATGCATTTCTTAAGTAACTAATTTCATGTGAAAAATTAGATGAAAATAAGTTCAACTGATGATATTTCTGCATTCTTGGTTAATTAGCAAGATATATAGGAAGACATGGAATTCTTAACACTGAAGTTTGGCTTCATCCCTGTTTTTTGTTATCTTCTCTTTCCTCCCTCCCCCCTCCAACTTAATATTTCATATTATCACTAACATTAGGGAATATGAAACATCAGCTATAGCAGTTTTATCAAAGCACTTTCAGCATGTTTGGTGACAATGAAAACTTATGAAAGAATACCTACAGAAGTCTTCATTTCACCCAGACAGCTTGTGAAATCAACTTCAGTGAACCAACAAGTGTAATGATTGATCATTTATTACCATCATCTTACTTCTTCTTTCATATTACAATAAAAAGTTAGCATAACCCTGACAAAATCTTAACAGATCAATCAATCAACTCTTCAGTTACAAACAATCAACTACACAGAGTAGAGACCTTAAGAAATTTATAAGTTCAACTTGTAAAACAATTCCCTGCATCTTATGGAATGCAAAGGTTCATTACCATGTTCAAACTAGTCACCACTAGTCCCTATCCCGAGCCAGATGAATCCAGCATATACTATCCCACCATATTTCCATCAGATTAATTTAAATATCATCCTCCCATTTATACCTAACCTAGATCTTCTAAGTTGTCTCCTCTCTTCAGGGTTTCCAATCAATATTTTGTACACAACCAATCTCCACTATGCACACTAATACCCTATCCACCCTCTCCCCCTTGATTTGACTGTCCTAATAATATTTTGTGATGAGCACAAATTATACAAGTTTCTTCAGCCTCCTGTCACGTCAACCCACTTAGGTCCAAATATTCTCCTTGGCTCCATGTTCTGAAAAACACTCAATTTCCTGTAATACAAACACCAAGTATCACCCCCACACAAAACATGTAAAAAAAGATTTTATATATTTTAATCTTTGTTTTTAGAGCAGACAGAAAGACAAACGATACTGAACTGTATGATAACAAACATGCCCCACATTTGATATGCTCTTAACTTATTTGTGAATGCAATTTTCATTTATTTCATTCCAAAATATTTGTTTGAAATTTGCCACATTTTCAAAGGATTTATTAGCTACATTTATATAATGATTTTGTCCTGTAGCGCTGTTTGTCGCCGCTACATGCGTGGGCAGAAAGAACTCTTCTTCTAAGTTTTTGTGGCATGGTGGACTGGCATATTCCCTCCAGCATTTTACAAGAGCACCGTCATATAAGCAGCCATGTGTTGTCTTTATGACGCAAATTCTATTTGTGTAATCTTGGACTAGCGGTTAGAACTCTGGCCTTGTAATCTTGGGGTCTCGGGTTCGATTCCCGGCGGTGCCCAAATTTATAACTTGTGTTGGGCAAGGCCGTGGTCTAGGCAACACGGAGTTTTCCTCCGTGGCATCCCAACAATTACTCCATTCACACACAGAAGAAGGCAATGGCAAACCACTTCTGGATCATCTGCCAAGAAAGTATATGAACAGGTCCCAGTCCGAGAAAAGGATGGAAGGATCCTGTTCATATGGACCTGTCATAAGACAGAACACTAAATAAATAAAAGTCTGGTAATGAGACAAAAACCTCTCAACATTTACTTCTAGAACAGCTTCCTTCTCAATATCTAATAGAGCTTCTGTGTAATCCTTTATGACGTTTATATTATCATCAAATATCTTAACATCATCAGCACCGACCTAAAGCTGATGTGTCACATTCAGTTCCAATTCCTCCGTTTTCCCACAACTGTAAATAGCTAGGTAAAATTTGTATTCGACTGAATGACATTTCACTCCTACCTAAGACAGTATCCTGGTTAACAGTCAACATGTGCATGAACCACAACTACACATATTTACATACACAAGTCTAAAATCAAGACTTTGGTCATAACAAGCAATGTCACAGTATATAACTTTGCTTACATAAAAGAACAAATCAACTTGAACACACTGCTCATAATTATAAAGTGTATTTTATACCCTTGCTGCAGTCTTCACAGTATTATACAAAATATTACATAGTAGTAACAGCAGTAGTATAGGAGTAGCAGTAGATTATTTATTACACACAGTACAGTACATTAATACAGAACTATTCATAAATTTATTTCCATATGAAAATTTAACAATGCTCTGTCAAATATCATGAACCCAAATAAGTGTTGTATCTCCACAAAATACAGGTGTCAGAACTTTAGCTAGTACTTGGCTGTAATCATAACTGGTTTACAACTGAAGACTACAGCACTTCCGCATGACAAAAAATAGTCCCAAAAGAACTACATTATTGACACTCTGTAAGTAGCAAAACTGAGACAACAAACCTGGGGTGTATAAAAGAGATTCCATATCCTTGTTCTCTGTTGCCTTAAATATAAAACAATGAGGGTTTAAAAAAAATTAAATCAGAGTGTTGAGGTACACATAATAAATATTAGATCCATCACTTTTAATATGAATAACATCAATTTGAGACCCTTATGACTAATGTGCAGCCACATAACACAGGACAGAAATTATCTACTTTGAAGATCAAAATCCATAACACACATTTCTGACTCAGAAAAATAAGTAAAAATGAACACATGAAACCTGCTTTGTTCACTAAGAAATGGAATCTCTCATTATCACATCTTGACAGGAATGATTTAACTCAATAGTCAGAGCAACACCTTATGCAGCAAAACAAATGTTGCATTTTACTAAACAGAGCAATTCAGAGACTTCATATAATGTTTCTTAAATAAGAGTAAAACTTCCCAGAACGACTGAATGACTATAGCTCAACAGTCAGCTCTCCAAACAGGACACTGTCTGGAACTACTTTTATATTTCAAAACAGAAAGAAACTGTTCCCTGTAAGAACTAAAATTGTACTGCATAATTAAATAATTGAGCTAGAGAATAATTTAATTTTTTTAAATTAATCTGTCATATACAGAGTGAGAAACAGAATATAAATTAATGATTCAAATGATTATTTCATTGTTTATAACAATACTTTTTCAACTGTTTATGGAATGTAGTTTCAAATGTATGATGGCTTGAATTATGAATTAGAAAGGTTGTGAATGTGGTCATGGCCAGTTTTTTTATAAGATATTAGCCTGGATAAGCTGAGGAAAACCAGGACAGTTAACCACTAAGCTAAAATTTTAACACAGGAATAATAACCACTCAAACACAATTTGTGCAACTAAATTGAACAAGTTGCCCTGATACATTAAACCGAGAAAAATTATGTAACTTCTGAGTAAATCTCAAAAAGAACACTCACAAGATTACACTTAAGAATAAAATTATACCAAAATGTAAATATCTCAATCATGAGAACCATGTACATATATAGTTATTTCCTGGCTGGTTTACCAGAAAGACAGCTGTTATGACAGCAACTCAGAGAGGAAGCAGTCTTGAAAAAACATGTCATTTATTTATGCTATGATGGTATTAGGATAATATAGTGAATTGGAGAATATTAGAGGAAGAGAGCATTATGTTTTTAGTGATAAATTCTAAATTTCTCAGAGACAGATTTAAGAAACTGAACACAAATAGAAACTACATCATTACTATCACTACTACTTGAATCATTATAATAATGTAACTTATCACAAAATAAAGAGTTGTGGGATAAATATAAAAATTCAAAATGTTCCCAAATAATAAGTAATTCTATAATTTTCAATGAAGTTTCTGGTGTTTAGTGCTGAGACTTGCATAATGTGTATTACATGACAAAATACATATTACATGAGATTTGAGATTCTCACAGCAGTGAAAACATGAATCATGGTATTCTGGGTCGTGACACCACATAGTCTCATAACCATACAAGACTACATGCCATCACAACCGAGAAGACCACTATCTACACAAAAATCTATCTAATTCCAAGCTATTCAATGTGTAATCTGCAGGTGGACTTTATAATAATGTTTTAAAAAAAATGGACAACACATCTTGACCTGAAATAACACATAAGAATAGTGCCTTGGAATTCAGAAAACAATGACTGATTTACATACTTATATACAAACACATGTACACATCCAGTAACATCAAATTGAACAGACTACAAATATATTGTATTTATGTGAAATGCTGCCCTTTTCCTTGCTATATATAATTCATCTTGTACGTTTACAGTACAAAAAACATGGATTCTGTACTTTTAATGCCAAAATTTCATTTTTATGACATGCATTTGCAATATTTTTTTCCTCCACTATAAAATGTATCATGTTTTTAAATACCTGACCCAATAAAACAGCCTGAAATCCCAAATGAAAATCACGCTCTGCATTTCAGCATGTATCCTCTCTTCACATAAACATTTTCAAGAACTAGCAATTCATACTTCACACATTATACAATGATTTTACAAACGCTACATGCAGTAACTTAAAATATATACTTAAATAATTCCTTTCCAAAAGAAACCAAACAATATGGCAATTATATCAGCCATAAATACAGTATGTAATATCAGGGCCAACTTATTTTACACAAATACCAAACTGTTTTATATAACATATAATATTCCTGGTGAAGCACTGATGTAATACTTAACATACATAAATTATTAGCACAAAGAGCAATAAAGTTTTTTCTTTGTTTACATTACTAACAATATTAATTAACATAAACATCATTTTTCAAGAACAAACATATAGTACAACATTTACTGCCCTTCATAACCACCAGAACTGCTTGTAAATGTAAATGTAGAAGTACCTAACAGCATTTCTGTACACATGAGATGTTAAAAAGATATTTTTAAATAAGATATGTATTTTATTTTTCATAGTACCAAGCACTCTACATTGACATATCTGCATTTTTTTACCTTAGTTCAGTACTAAGCCAGTATTTTAGAGATATAAAGTAAATTATGCAGTCATAATTCTAAGCAAATACAAGGCAACATGTAAGTGAAAATAATTTTTTTATTTCAAAAAAAAATCTTACGATTAAAATTTAAAAGTGAAAAATATCCATTTATAACTTGAAGCACATCAATTATTAAATGTGCTGTCAAAGTAAATTATTTTAGGTGCTCTAAAAGATCATATTCTGAAGCAATTACAATATGCTTCAGATCAGCAACACTGTACATATCAATGAGAAATAATTTCTGGTAACAATGTTATATCTATAAAACTATGTAAGGTATGTACACATTTCTGTACTCACCACATGGAAAGGCAGAGTTATTTCTTGAAAAAATACATTTTACATTCACAGGAAAAGAATTTGAACAAGTTGTTCAGTTTGTATGACCTGGAAAGTGGGTGTTGATTCTA